ATCTGATACTTGGAAATAGAAGGTTAAAATGGAATGCACAGGTCCAAGAAAAAATGATTCAGATCCTGGATTCCCATGAATCTGCTTTATTAAAGGGGGAAATGTTGTTAGAAACAGGAAACGTAATTGGACTTTATGAGAACATAATTAACCGAATGCGCCCACTGATGACCACAGCTAGAGTGATAAAAAACAAAAAGTTTAAGAGACAGACTTGGTTTGATAAGGAATGTCAGAATAGCAAAAAATGCCTAGCTAGGGTACTTAGAAAACTGAAGTTAAAACAGGATAAGCACAATCTTGCTCCATAAGCTGAGGTAGCCCAGTTACGAAACAACTATAAATTATTACTTAAAAGCAAGAAACAAATATATTATTGTCAGGGGCTCAGGAGCAGAGGCACAGGGTGTTGAATGGTTTCTTTAAATGTAAAGGTTCATCATTGCTCCACTCCATGTGTATGTCTTTAAGGGGCCAGAGCAAGGGCCAGAGCAAGATAACGAGACCCAGCTTTACAGCTGTGTAACATAGCAGGTGCTGCTGAGTTGTATTTGATTAAGGTGTGTCAGCATTTGGGTAGAGTATATAAGGAGCAGCACCTAGCTCTCCCATTACCCTGGGGGATGGGTTGGTGGTTGGGTCTGGTTTGTTGATGTATTTAGTGTAAATGGGGTTTTTGTTTTTCTTATTAAAACCTTCTTTAAGTTATTTTTGAGTCCTTTCTTTTTAATGCATGATCTCCCCAGCAAGCTCTCTGCAGCGTCACTATACTGCAAAAATGGAGAGCGAAGGGGAAGAATCTGAGGGCAGCGGAAGGGAGAATGACAGTGACCCGAGAGATTCCATGAGCCTCTCCAGCGAATCAGAAGATTCCCAGAAGGGGGCGCCGATGGTCAGGGCAAGGGGGGTCCCAGGGGGGACGCACCAGAAGCAAGGGGCCAGCGGGGACTCCCAAAGCAGCAGCGGGAGATCAGGACCAGCTTCCCCACCAGAGCGTAGCGGGAGGGAAGAGCCCCATGTGTCAGGGCCAGCGTCTCCTCCAGCAGGGAGAGAAGATGAGTCAGGGCTGACCACGCCTCTATCGGAGAGCGGGGGAATGGAGGGGAGGTCAGATCCAGCTAGCCTCCCCGAAGGGGGAAGCAGTGACAGGAGCAGTGTAACGGTCAGGAGGAAGGTGACCGGCTGGGCGCACACGCCAAGTTTGAATGTACAGGCGCGCGGGACAGCAGAAAACCCGGATTGGGAACCAGGTCCTAAAGCCCGCCGGAGGCAGGGGGAAGACTCAGGGGACTCAGCGTCAGAAGAGTCTAGGAAGGGGAAGACCCCAGCGGACAGGCGGACCCAGAGGAGGAAAGAGCAAAGGAAGAGGTGGAGCAAGGCTAGAGTCTTAAACTGGTGTCTGGGGGGAGGAGACTCAGACGGAGCTTCGGCGGTCTAGAGTTTGAGACTTAGAGCTGTGCGCCGCGGCTGTGAAAGCGAAACTGAGCTTCAATAAAGACTGTTTTATATAACAACGAACTGGCGTTGGTCCTTTGTGAGCTGGGACCTAGGGCAGCTCTGACAATTATGAACAACAGTGGAAAGAATTGGGAGATGCAGCACTTCAAATGGACTCACAGAAATTTTGGCATCTGGTTGCCCAAGGCACAAATGGGCTGGGCTACTCATTAGAAGCATCTGTCCAAGGAAAGGATTGGGTGACATATTTTACAGAAATATATGGCCCCTGTCCTGACCTACCCCCACAAGTTTACTATACTCAGTTATCAGAACTGCCAGAATGGCCAGACGTCACGCCCAATCAGATTAAGAGGCTAATCGCAAGCCAACTAGCTAATAAAGCTCCAGGAGAAGACATGATCCCAATGGAGATCTATAAGATAAGACCTGATTTCTGGTCACCCATTTTTGCAAAATTGTTTTCATAGATTAACAGCTCAGGTCATATACCTGAAGGGTGGAAGTTGAGTATAATTGCCCCAATATATAAAAAGGGCGATAAGAAAAACCCTGCCAATAATAGACCCATTAGTTTGTTAGATGTAGCCTCCAAACAATATGTCAGGCTCCTTCTTGGGAGACTAGAAGAATGGGCAGATACAAATAAGATGATATCTGAAGTCCAGGCAGGTTTCCAAAGAGGGAAATCCACATTGGACCAGTGCTTTGTGCTGAACTTTCTGCTATGTAAATACATCCATAATTTGAAGCAAAAATTATATGTTGCTTTCATCGATCTAAAGTCAGCTTTTGATATGGTCCCAAGACACGCATTGTGGCAAAAATTGGAAAGACTCTTCAGCTTTCTAGAATGATTAAGACACTCGTATCACCTGCCTCCTCTTGGTCCAGCTTCCTCCAGGAAAGAGCCTCGGAAGAATAGACATATTATGGGTATCAACGTCCACAGTATCTGTTCTAAGAACACTGAAATGCAACTGAGAACTTTATCAGATCATAATCTAATATTTACTATTATGAAAGGCCAACCAAATACCACTTTTAGATGGAAGATGAATGACAGCTTGTTAGAAAGCTGTCTTCAGTCCAGAGAGACCGGTAATAAGCGACCCCTCCATCCTGAGAAGAGCACACTAATCTTCTGGCATCCCATCACAGAAGAAAGAGACAGTCCGTAGTCTACTCACTACTTTATTAAGACTATACACGCAGCTCTTACAAGCATGACTGCTTTCCTGAGCAGCAAACACAAGAGTCTATGACTCGACTCACACTTCAACTCAGAAGTGAAAGTAACTCTCCGGTTACAGGAGAACTAGCAGAGACTTCCTGTCTCACCCTCAGAGACATCACATGATGTCAGCAATGTAGCTGCTCTTCGCAGCTGGTGAGATATAAAAATCCCAACAACCTCTTCCCCCCTTTTCTTCCTAATGTAACACTAATGTCTCAACAAATGAAACTGATCTGTAGAAAATGTAACTTGAAAAAAGAGACATTGTACATACTTTTGTAAACCAAGAAATGTTTAATAAAAAATACATGAAAAAAAGAATGTATTAGGCTTGATTTTTGTGTGTTCTGCATTTGTGAGTCTCTCCCTCCTACATTGCATTCCATGTCTCCTTATCTAACCCTGAAAGTGGTACAAATGGCAGCATGTTTTAGCACAAGGCTATATATCAGCGACCCTAGAAGTTTTCTGAGACCCAGGAAGAGGATTTTATGATGTTCTTCCCTCACTGAATGCAAAGTTGCCAGGGTAATGCTGGACATCCAAAACCTAAAATGGTCAAATGGTCTGGGAGCAGTGAGGCCACTCCAAGGTGATTGGAGGGGTGAAGATACCAGTATGGAGCCATAAATGTGTTATTTCTCCAGACCTCTAACCTTTCCTGATGTATGTGAAGATGTTTTATGACTCTTTGTTGGCTGTTGGAGAACTACTATATAAGCTTTTGTTCTGAGGTGCCTTGGGGCAGACCTTCTCAACTGGCACCTTGAGTTGAGTGAGCTCTGTCCTGTTGCAATAGCTATACTAAATGCTGGGTCCTTAAATCTGGATGCTAGACTTGAAAATAGTTCCCTTGGTTCTGTGGTCTATTCAAAAGGTGGTTGTTCCTCACCTGGGTAATGAACAAGGTGGTGTAGAGGTGAATAGCTATAATAAATGCTGGATCCTTAAATATTGATGCTGGACTTGAGAATTGTTTCCTTGGTTCTGTGGTTTATTCAAAAGGTGGTGGTTCCTCACCTGGGTAACGGACAAGGTAGTGTAGGGGTGCATCATTACCACAACACTGATCCTGGCCTGACTGCACTGGCTACCAATTAGTTTCTGGGCTCAATTCAAAGTGATGGTTTTGACCTCTAAAGCCTTAAAAAAGGACTGCAACTTTCCATATGAACCCACTCAGATCTTGAGATGATCTTCTGAGGCCCTTCTTCACTTGTCTCATCCTCAAGAGGTCTGGAGCCTGGCAATACAAAAAAGGGCCTTTTCTGCAGTAATTCTCCACTTGTGGAATGCTTGCAAGGGAGGTTTGCTTGCGGTCTTCATTATATGCCTTTAGGCACCAGGTAAAAATGTTCCTCTTTAACCAAGCCTTTGTTTGATTGGCATCCTATGCCCTTTTAAAATGTGTTGGGGGAGTTATTGGGTTGTTTTTGTTTTTTTGTGTATTTTGTGGTTTTATATTCTGTGAACCGCCCTGAGACCTCTGGATATAGGGTGGTAAATAAATTTTAACAACAATTACTTAGAGACCTTCAAGTACCAAGCAACTAACATGTCTAAATAAGAAGGTGATGGTGATGAAGAAGACGAAGATGGTGACGGAGGAGGGACACTATCACAATCACTATCACAAGAAATCTTGTGATACAGTGAAACTGTAATTCGTTAAGGGACAATTTGTAGCACATCCCATGTCATACTTGCCATGTGTTTTAGACCCATCTGTGATAGAGAAGAAATAAATAACTACATCTGCAAAAATTCTCATCAGTTCTCTCCTTTCTGAAATCTAGATGATGTTTACTAACTTATTTTTTGGCCAAATGGGTGATGGAGGAGGGACACTATCAGAATGGCACTCTCCCTGCCCCCTCCATCATGATTCCCAGTATCTGGAAGTCCCAATTTAGATTCTCATTTTTAAAAGAAACAAAGAGAATTATCTAAGCTTCAAGAGGCAATTAGATAACAACATTATACCATTATCCTCCTCATGATGAGGAAGTGAGGAAATCTACAAATTGAGTCATTGTTCATGTTATTACTGTTTCGCAAAGGAAACTGTGAACAGATACCTCAATCCCCTTCCATTGAATTTTATGCTGCTGATTCTCAGGGAAATCTGGAAAATTGGCCTGGGCTTCCAGAAACATAATGCAATTAGTTATTAGTAATTTTATTAACTAATAATTATCCATTTGTTCCTTCTAAAAGACTCTGTCCTTCACTGCCACCACTGCCAAATATTGTAAATTTGATAAATTCAGAAACACAGCACAATTTTATTTGCCACACCAGTTTATTTTGATTATGAAGGAAGGAAAAAATAACCCATAAACCATATCATGAGACATAGCTCCCAAGCCCCACATTTCTCTATGCCCTGCATCCCATTCAGCCTCCACCAAATGCCAGATAAAAGACACAGGAGTCCTCTGAATTCCAGAAACTCTGCAAAGCCACCATCAAAGAGGCAATCTCCACCTCTACCGATGCTGCAAGTGGTGGGATCCAAAATGATGAAGACATTCTTCTCTCCTAACTATCCTTCATTGTTGAGCTTCTTTCCAGAAGGCAGAGTATCACCGCATCGTGCTTTGGTTATAGTACCTGAAAGGTAGTCATTGTACGGTGATGTCCTAGCCAACTCACAAAAAGTTGGGGTGGCACAGCCGCTATAAAGCTTATCAGGAACCGAACTGTCATCTGGTAAAGAGAAAGAGGCATGGTCACATGTGTATTTTTTTGTTATTATGCAAGAGAGGCTTAATCCACATTCTGGGATGGGGAGACAGAGAGAGAGAGAGAGGCTCAATATTGCATTCTGGATCACCGCTCCATAGGCTCAACTATATACTGCATAATACTGTAATATGTTCAGGGGGGGAAACCCTGCCCTTTCCCACAAAACATGAAATCTTTTTTCTGGCAGGAAGTTGCAAACAGAATAAGAGAGCAACCAACCCACCCTGGCAAGCTGTGTTTCTAATCTCCCTCACATTTGTGGGCAGTGATACTTACTGTGAACAAGGACAAACTCAAAGCATCGAGTCTCATCACCACGACATCTAAGATTTCTCAACTTTAGACAATCTTCTGGGCCAGAAGGATGATAGGACGGACACCTTAGCCCATTGAGAAGATATCCTGGCCCTGCCAAAAGCAATCCATACAATAAATACATGGATTCAGCTCATATATCTCCATAAAAAATTCCAAGGCCTTGGTTCTACAATGCTGCCAGAGGGTTGCATTAATCAAGCAGACAATGCAGATCTGGTTATTACCTTGGGTTGAGGAGAGAGAAGCCAGACAGGCTTCAGGTGGTAGGCCACCCACTTGTGAGCCAGGCTCAGCCCTGGTAGGCATATGTTCCAACATTTATTGAGAGGATATTGGGACATCTCCTGCCCCCACCCTCTCACAAACACATGGATATGGCCGGGAAAACCCAGACGTTTGGCAGCCCTACATTATGTTGTTTGTTACTTTGTTACTATGTTGTAAACTATGCTGTCACCTATTGCTGAAGGGTATACACATATATATCTAGATATGGATATATACATTTTTAAAATAGTAAATACAGCTTGTTATTATTATTATTATTATTATTATTATTATTATTATTATTATTATTTGTATTCAAAACATTTATATATGTTTTATATACCACAATACAGTCTCAAAGTGGTTTGCCAATTAAAAATGTGTGTGTGTGTGTGTGTGTGTGTGTGTGTGTGTGTGTGTATGAAACTGTGAAACTACAATAAAATAAAAAGCAATTTTACACATAACTACAATGCAATGCAATAAAGCAATCAAATCTCAAAAGAAATAAAAATAAGATATATTTAGATTCAGGGATCCTTTCCCTCTCTTCAGAGACCCTTTTGCCAAGACATCTCCCAACTCACTACACATTACACTGAAATTATGGCCCTACATTCACACAAATAATAAAATACCTGCTACTCAGTCACTATCACTGATCCCATTCTGTTTCACAAATGCACACAATCTGCCAGTCACTCCAGCATCTCTTACTCAAGTCACCATCCCCTATCACCTGTCACTCCTTCCACACAACAAAAATGTACTTCAAAAACCGAAGAAAGAAAGAAATGGTTCACTTACTGAACCGTATAAAACAATAATACAAATTGCCACCCATTAGTCACACATATATTCTTGACAACAATTTCGCTACTTCCCAGGTCACAGTCTCCCTTTCCAGACTCTAGTTGGGCTAGTAGGGAGCAAGGAAGAAATGTATTGTGTGTCCAGGCGGAGACCCCCCCTCTCCCCTAGGAGACAGGCCCAGAGCAATGAATCATACACGTCAACATTTATTATGATCAAAATGGCCACAACTTTATCCACAGTTTCACATGTAGGAAACTTTGGCTTAGGCATTGGGCATGTATCCCTCTCAGCCCCCCAGCCAGGGAACTGAGGCACAGCAGAGTTAATTGGATCAGAGGGGGCATTGTAAAATGCATCTTTACATAGCCAGCCCCCACTTCTCCACACAATTTTGGGAAGTTCACCGACAACCTACCAGTGTATGGCCAGTGATCCCCTTCACACAAGTCCTGAACCCTGAAAATGCCATCGCAAGGAGGGGTGAGTCACCACCCCCCCACCCCTAGAATGATGACTAAAGGTTTCTGTCCAAGGCCTAAAACTGCCAGTGTTGTGATAATTCCTACGGGGAAGGTGAAACCTGCGGAGCAGGGACAATTCCTTCCTGGCTCTTCAACAGCAACCATCATAAGACAATAGCAACACCCATAAACCTGGAAGGAAAATGGTTAAACTGCCACAGAAGGAAGAGATCTAAACACTGGTTAAGAAAGTGAAATATTTAGGGGTTAACATGACTGCTAAGAACATGAATTTATTTAAGGATAACTATGAAAAATGTTGGACCGAAGTGAAAAAGGACTTAGAAATATGTTCAAATTTGAAGTTATCACTGTTAGGCCGAATTGCTGCAATAAAAATGAACGTATTGCCAAGGGTGCTGTTTCTGTTTCAAACATTGCAAATTTTGGACAAAATGGACTGTTTCAAGAAGTGGCAGAGAGACATCTCTAGATTTGTCTGGCAGGGCAAGAAGCCTCGAATAAAATTTAATATATTAACAGATGCTGAAGAAAGAGGTGGATTTGCCCTGCCAGACCTTAAAACTTTATTATGAATCAGCCGCTTTTTGTTGGCTGAGAGAATGGATGCTTCTTGAAAACACTGATGTGTTGGATTGGAAGGCTTTAACAATGTATTTGGTTGGCATGCATATTTGTGGTATGATAAGGTTAAAGCACACAAAGCGTTTTAAAAACCATATTGTCAGAAAAGCACTGTTTAATGTCTGGATAAGATATAAGGACTTGCTAGAAAATAAAACTCCAAGATGGCTGTCACCAATGGAAGCAAAGGCTCAGAAAAAAACTCAATATGGAGGCCAAAATGGCCGAAGTATTGGGAAATTCTGGAACAAGAGGGAGACAGATTAAAACTGCAGAGTTTTGAAAAATTAAAAAACAGAGTGCGAGACTGGCTCCATTATTATCAAATAAGGGAGGCATATAATTTGGACAAAAAGCTAGGCTTCCAGGTGGAAAAATCAAAATTGGAAACAGAATTGTTAGACCCCAAAGTTAAGAATCTGTCAAGAATGTATAACTTGCTGTTGAAATGGAATACTCAGGATGAAACGGTGAAAATCTGCCATGATTAAATGGGCACAAGATGTTGGACATAACATTATGATGGCTGACTGGGAACAGTTATGGACCACAGGTATGAAGTTTACGGCATGTAATGCCTTAAAAGAGAATTTAATGGAAATGATTTACAGGTGGTACATGACACCAGTCAAGCTTGCAAAAATTTACCATTTGCCCGATAATAAATGCTGGAAATGTAATGAGACTGAAGGTACATTTTTTCACCTTTGGTGGACATGCCCAAGGATTAAGAATTTCTGGGAGATGATTTATAATGAAATGAAAAAGGTATTTAAATATACCTTCCTGAAGAAACCAGAGGCCTTTCTCCTGGGCATGGTTGGCCAATTGGTGCCAAAGAAGAATAGAACTTTTTTTATGTATGCCACAACAGCAGCAAGAATACTTATCGCAAAGCATTGGAAGACACAAGAACTACCCACCCGGGAAGAATGGCAGATGAAGCTGATGGACTTACATGGAATTGGCAGAAATGACTGGAGAAGAGTCGGTGGAAGAAGATTGGAAAAAATGTAAAGTATATTTACAGAAATATTGCAAAATTAATGAATGTTAGAAGGATGCTGGAATGAAGTTATATGGCTTTAGCAGAAATGTTATAAAGAATTAAGCAAAAACAGATTGTTAATGAGCCAAAGTGGAAAATTTAAGGTTAGATTGTGTTAAGATAAATTATAGAACAAAAATTGAGAAAGATGGAAAGGACTTGCTGAAATAGCTAATTGAACAAGAATACAAAAAAGGGAGGTGTGAGGAGGTCGATGAAACAAGTAAATGAAAGGTAAAGATATGGAAATATTGGATGTGTTTTTAAATGTTTTTGTTTTTCTTGTTGTTTGCTGTATTGTTTTTTGTTTTTATTTTTATTTTTGATGTATTGTAAGGTATTGTTTTGTTTCTGTTTAATTATTTATTGTTACTTTTTTCTTTTTCTGTAACTATTAAAACTTTAATAAATATTATTTTTTAAAAAACAAAAACAAAAGGAAGAGATCTAAGAGAGGGTTGGGTGGGTGAAGCTCCGGAACGACTGTGCGTCCCACGCTGGCTCCGCCCCCACTTATAAAACCCCAGAGCAGACCGGAATGAAATTTTCTCACTGGCGGTCCGCTCACTTGGCCCGGCCCCTAAGTGACACCACAGATTGGCTGGTTTAAATAGGGGTTTGGCAGGAAGCCTGACGGTCCGTGACTATTGGAAGGCAGGCCAGCTCAGGCCAACTGGCTTCTCTCTAGGGAGATCGGGAGTGCTGCGCACTGGTCTGCAAATGGCACCCACCTGTCAGATGTTTTAGTGGTTATTCATCTCTCTATCGTCTGCCCCAATCCCCCAATGAATGAAGAATCACCCAGGGGTCATTTGAAGCTCTTTGGTCAATAAGTGCTTCAGACAGGACACTTGCTTCCCCCTTGAGACACAGATGGTGATGCTGATTCTAATCATTTACCATGTAAACTAGGAAAGATGGTTATTGCACTGGAACAGTATCATTTGTCTATGAGCAACCAATGGGGAAAATGGGAAACCTCAATGCTATTCATGCCTCAGGGATACATAGAGATATATAATTCTACAAGAATGCAGCTACTTACAGTCAATCTGTCTTGCGTTGCAAAAGTCATCTTGGCAGCAGTCGATGTTACTCTTTAAGTAACCTTTAAATATGGAGAGCTGTAATTCGTTGAGGGACAATTTGTAGCACATCCGATTTTAAAATTGGATACTACTGGAGACCCATCTGTAAGTTGAGAATTGGAAAGACTAAATCTGCAAAAATTCAAATCACATCTCTTCCTTACTGAAATCTAGATGATTTTTTTAACCTTTTTTTTTTTGTCAAATGGGTGACTGGGTCATTTCATTTAGGAATCAACCAATGAGTACAACATATTTTCTTCTCCAAAAACCATGTAAATATTTCTAGGATATTTCCTTTAAAAATTGCACATAAATGGGTCAAGGCAGGCTTGTTTTTGCTAAGGGCTCCGAACAGGCTAATCTACCATCCATCTCTACCTAATAATCAGTTAGTTGTTTCAGAGGCCCACTCAAGAATATGCCATATACTATATTTTTAAGAGGCAGAAAAAGAATATATTACTATGCTATGCATTTTTGTGTTTTTATACTGTAAACCGCCCTGTGATCCTCGGATGAAGGGTGGTATAGAAATTAAATAAATAAATAAGATGGTAAGAAAAACTGGCAACCCTGGAAAAAGAGAAGGCTAGTATGGAGGTGGTGAATGTTCACTTCACAGGCCAAGTTTGTAGGAGAAAATAAAATACAATGAAAGGATTAAAGGCAATAAGAAAAGTACAATTAAAAACACAGCATTTAGCACATCAGTTCATAACTGTTGCAACAAGAAAATGTCTTGGG